AGGGAAAGGGCAACAAGTTAACTCAGTGGACAGAGTGCTGGGCCTGGAGCCAGGAAGGCCTGAGTTCAAATCCAGCCTCAGACACTTACTAACTGTATGAGCCTGAGCAAGTCTCTTAAACTCATGTTTGCCTCAGATTCCTCATCTGTATAATGGGGATTATAGTAGCACCTATCTCCCAGGGTTGTTGTGAAGTAATTGTAAAGTGCTTAGCATGATGCCTGTCACATAGTAATCTAGTAGTAGTAGTAGTAGCAGCAGCAGTAGTAGTAGTAGTAGTAGGAGTAGCAGAGAGGGCCAACCTAGGAGTCATGAAGACCTGAATTCATGTACCCTCTCTAAAACATACTTGCTCAATGACCCTGGGTAAGCCACTTAATTTTGCAATGATTCAAGGCAGTTCTCTGAGATTATTAGTTATAAATAAATATTTCCACACAATGTAGATCTGTACCAATGAAATCACATGTCTAGATCAAACATGGATAGATAGATAGATAGATAGACAGATAAATGATTGATAGATATAAATATATATACACATTAAATATATCTACATAGGCATAGATATACATGTTTATGTTTTTAACCACAAAGTTTATTAAAAATAAATTATATATAGCTTAATAATTATAATTTATTATAATTCCATAACAATATACAATTTATGTATTTAATAATATATAATTACATATAAATTATACAAGATTATCACTGGTAATAGCAATTTTCTCATTATCTTTGCTTTTCTAAACTACTAAAGGGTTTTCTTCTTCTGCCCTAGGAATAAAAAAAAGGAAGTTATGCAAGTAATCATTGTTTTTTAGGCTGATCTTACCCCTCAGAATAGGCTAACCACATTTGTTTCTGTAAGAGTCTGTATAATGGCACAGACTTTTAGGGGTCTTAATACTTACTTGAAAGTAGTAATAATAACAAATATGTAAATGTCAAAAGTATCTGTGATTTGACTTACAGGAGGGGCTTCTGGTGTAGAAACTTTCTCTACCAAGGAAGATCACAGCCTTCTGTGAATCAGTGGGTAAATTCTAGAGTTGTTTGGGGGAACTCTGTGGCATATAATTTAGGTGACTTTCTTAGGGTTACACAGCTAGTAAGTTTCAAAGGCAGGGTCTGAGCCCAGGTCTTTCTGATTCAAAGTGTGACTTTCAGTGTGTCTTTATTTTGACAATAAGCTCTCTCCCCTTTGAAATTCTCCAGCTCAAGAAATACCATGTCTCCAATCTTTTCCCTGGATAACAGACGAGGAAATAACATCAACCTATGAAACCCTGAAAGAATCACTTCAACTCCATGGGGCTGTTTTCCCATCTGCAAAATGTAGCAGTTGACTTTTGAGGACTACTTTAACTCTAGGCATCAGGGTATAGTGAAGAGTGTTGAATCTGGAGTTAAAAGGGCTTAAATTCTAGCCCTGCCATTTCCTACCTGTGTGCCCTTGGACAAGGGACTTAACCTGTCTGGACCTCTTTCCTCATTTGTAAAATGAAGAGGTTGGATTAGGTGGCCTCAAAAGTAACTTCCAGCCCCAAATCTACAATCCTATGATCTTGGAGTGGCAGCCTACTGTTATAGCATTGCTAGGAGAATTTAGTATGCTCACCTGTTTTTCTTTGTTAAAAGAGAATAAACAAAGAGAAGGTAGGGAAGATAGAAGGGAGGGCAGATTATGGGCAAGACTATTCAGAATGCATGCCATCGTGGGGTGAGGGGAGGGACGAGATGGGGAGAAAATTTGGAACTCCAAATCTTGTGGAAGTGAATGTTGAAAACTAAAAATAAATAAATTAATTTTTAAAAAGAGAATAAATATCTGGGGCATATTATTTGGAAATGACCCTCCCCAAACAAAAGGCATGGATAAAACTTAAAAACAGAATGATATGTCTTGAATGATGAGTCTTAATAAAATACAAGCATCTCTAAATTGAGATTTGTGCAATTCTTTTATCCAAAATATAATAAAAGGACTTTTTTCCTGTTTTCCATTTCTTTTATGTTTCCCAGTAAGCAGCAGTCCTCTTAAAATCTCTTTCCAAAGAAAAACCTTCAATGTTCCATAAATGTGTGGATTTTGAAATTTTGTTTTACTGATGCCTTTTGTTTTTCTGTCAATCATTTCTGGATATGTACATATCACCCACTGACCTGGTGAACCATATCTTTCTTTCTAACAAAGAAAAGCAGTTTAAAAATGGAAACTGTCACAGAGATTATACCTCAAAATGTATACATCATGCTCTCATAGCCTCCTGCCTCTCTGCCAAAGAAGGAAGCCATGTCTATGTTTTCAAAGACAATAAACAGTGTTTTTTTTTTCAAATCCATAAGATCTTCTCTGCAGTTTGGCCTTGTTGCTCACAAGGTAACCCATTTCTCACTGGGCTTGGCAAGACTTCATCCATGAAATTGTCCACGATCTCCCTGAGTCATAAATCATTTTTCTTTCCTTAGACTTCTCATAGCATTTTGTATGCATCTCTGTGATGAACTTACATTTTTATTTCTTTCTCATTTATATATATGTATGTACATATATATATACATATATGTATATATGTGTATATATATATATATATAAACTTTTATATATATATAAACTTTTCATCAAGTTTCTCTGACAAGTGTATGATATCCAAAGATTTATAAGTAATTGATTCAAATATATCAGAATGATGGCCATTTTCTAATGATTAGTCAATGCATATGAATAAATACTTCAAAAAGGAAGAAATACAAGCTATCAACAGCTATATAAAAATGCTCCAAATTATTGATAATTAAGAGAAATATAAATTAAGGTTCTACCCTACATCCATCAGATTGGAAAAGGAGACAAAAAAGGAAATGACATTGTTGGTGGGATAGCAAGGAGAACTTTGAATTGTTGGTGGAACTGTAAATTGCTCTGGATTCTCTATCTCTGTGTCTCTCTTTCTCCCTTCCCCACCCCAAGACTTTTTTTTCCAGGTTTCCTTTGATCTTTACACATCCAGGACTCAAGAATCTTTGCCATCCTGTGATTCTCTTCTATAGTTTACTGAATCTCTTGGTGCTCAGAAGGAAACAGTACTCTAGATGATTTCTGATGAGGGCAGAGTACAATGAGACTATCCTCTCCTTAATCCTGGAAACTCTATTCTCTTGTTGAAGTCTGACATCACATTACCTTTTTTTTAAATTGTTGTCATATCATACTACTAACTCATACTGACTTTGCAGTCCACTAAAACTCCCAGATCCTCTTCAGAACAACCACTACCTATCCTTTCTATGCCATATTGTATTTGCAAAGTTGATTTTTTTATACCCAGATTCAGTACTTCATATCTATCTCCATTGAATTTCATATTATTAGATCCAGCCCAGTACTCTAACCTGTCAAGATCTTTTCGGATATAGTCATGCTATGTGTTAACTATTCCTCCCATTTTTGTGTCACCTGCATATTTGATGGGGGTTATCATCTGTGGCTGTATCCAGGTCATTGATAAAAATGTTAAAGAACATAGGTCAAGCACACATTCCCAGGATGCTCATGCAAAAACCTCTTGCCATGTTGACACTGAGTCATCAACTACTCTCTGAATCCAGCTATCCATCCAGTTCAGAATCCATCTGATTGCTTTATCATCTAATCCACATATCTGTTTTTTCCACCAGAAGACAATTAGATAATTTATCAAAAGCTTGGCTAAAAATCTAGATAACTATATCCACAACATTCTTCTCATCTACTAGTTCAATAACCTTATCAAAAAAAGGAAATGAGCTTAGTCTGGCCTGACCTGTTTTTGATAAAGCCATTCTGGCTCTTTGTTTCCAATTACCATTTCCTTTTCTAGATACCTGCCAACCATCTCTTTAATGATTTATTCTATAATTGTATGAAGAGTCCGTAAGGAATTGGCAGCCTAAAGTATATTTTGGAGAGACTGTTAACTTTGATAGCCAAAGAGAGGATAAATAAAAAGGATTAGCAATTAATTTTCTCAAAGACTGAGTTTAGCTCTTATCTTGAAGACATATCTGAAAAGGATTCCTGAGAGACTTTAATCAGTATAGTGAATGAATTTAAAGGTGGATATATGTTTCTAGGAGTGAAGAAAAGTCATTGGCTATCAAAGTGAGGCTTCTAGGTGACTCTAACTGTAGGCTTTCTCATCACCAAAATATTACATATAATTATTTATATCTTAATATTACTTTCACTGCCAGCAAATTATACATTCAGTGTCATCAATATTTATTTAATCATGGGAAATTAAGGGATTTAATGTATTTAATATATATGGGAATAATTACTATTAGCAAAGGAAGTTTCTCAGTTTATGTGAAATAATTAATGAGCTGGAATGGAGGTTAGAACCAACTGATTAATGAAAAAGAGATTGCAGTATCATTAATTAACATGAAAACATGAAAACATAGCCTAAGATTATTCTGGAATTTTTAATGATAAGTTTAAATACGAGAATGGGTCAAATAGTAGGCTGAAGAATGAGCAATAAATTTGTTAGACCCCACAAACCATGCAAGACAGACTATGTATAAACTCTGTAAAAAAAAAGAACTCAAGTTTTAAATATTTTTCTACTCTTTGTCTATTGAAATGCATGTTTGTTTATGTTTAAGTTCATAATAAAAAAGGACATTTAAATTTAAAAAGTACTTCCTGAGATCATCAAAATAAGAAATTTTGTGATGTTTTATGGTTTACAGAACAGTTTATTTATGTTATCTCATTTGATCTTCACAAAAATCTATGAAGTAGGTATAGGTATTATTCCCTCACTTTGCAGATGAGGAAACTGAGATCCAGACAGGTTAAATATTACACAGGATTATACTTCTAATGAATTCTGCCAGGATTAGAAGCAGCCTCTTCCTGACTTCAGATTTAAGTACTACCTCTTAATAAGATATAATTTGCTACTGTCAAAAATGTAATATGCCTCTTTTTACTTTTTTCTGCCTAGATTCCTTCGTGGGTGGAGTAATTGGCCTCATTTTTGCTTATGTTTGCTACAGACAGCACTACCCTCCTTTGGCTAACACAGCTTGTCATAAACCTTATGTCAGTCTTCGAATTCCAAGCTCCCTGAAGAAAGAAGAGAGGCCTACTGCAGAAAATGCTTCTGGGATGCCACTGGAGGGGATAACAGAAGGACCAGTATGACGGGTGCACAAGTACATTGAGACAGTTTAGCCCGCGTCACATTCTCTATCTTTCCCCCCTTATAACATCATAGAAAAGATTTCTTATAATATGTTTTTCACCTGTTGTTTTCTAAAGTTATCCTTTGAATGATCTCCTTCTTGCTTCCATTTGGCATTTGGAGTCTGCGCTGTTTGTTTGAGATATCTATTTTCAATTTAATTGAGTTGGCAAACAAAAACAAAAACAAAAAGAAAGTTTGTTTTTTTTTAAAGGGAGGAAAAAGCAAGCAAACAAACAAAAACCTAGTACAGGTGTTAAAGAAAGCATCCAAGTACGACTGTGCTGTCAGCTGCACTTGGCCAACTCCTTTCTTTAAATGTAATGGCAACATTTCTTGTGTTTTCATGCTTGTAAAACAATAAAATCTCCACCAGAAATATCCTGTATGGCAGCACTCTTCTGAGCTAATAAGGACAACTTTGTACTTTAGAAAGACCTGGATAGTCCACCTCTGGCACGAGACCCACTTTATCCTTCAGTAGTCGGATGTCTATTCTACCACATGAAACCTTGGAAGGTTTCTGAGTCATCAGATTGTGACAGAGTCTGTTTCTCAGACGGACTAGAAAATCTTTGCTTTGGTCTCAGCATTTTCAGGGCTCTGTGAGCCATTAACTTCAGAAGAAAGTGGTATGGTGTAACTTCAAGAGTAGATCACCAGCTGTAATTAAAAAAAAAAGTATGGACTAATGAGGGGGAGGGGGAACCTCTGTTTTCTAGGGCTGCCAGTTTTTCAGAATCCTGCACCCAATAATCTGGTACCTGAAATGTCTTATTTACTAGGTCAAGATGCCAGTAACTGATGTCACAGCTCCCTATAACCCTTTTCAGGAACTGCTGATTTGTGCAACCATGCCGAACACAGTAGTATGATTCCTTCTTGTCCATTTTACTGAATAAAAACAGAGCCTTAAGGGAAAACTGAGCCAGGAGCTCAAGGTCACCAAATAAGAATGAGGCAGGTTTGGTATCACCATAGCCTGCCTTTGAGTTCTGAGTTCTCTGTAATACTCTATGCCTTCCCAGATATAAGGGACCCCCGACAGGACAACTAGTTTGTGTTTCCTATTCAGTGGGGGTGTTTCAGAATGGTAATAAGTCAAGCAACAGCCTAAGTGAAGCATTTGGATTCCTCCATTTCCCTTTTTTCACTTTTCAGCATTGTCTAGGCACAGCAGACCATGTATATACTTGATAATAGAGCAGAATGCTAATCCTTAACCATTTTTTAAAGAGATACTATTCCACTCAGCTAAGTACATTTTGGGGCATACTTTGTGGCTCCTATAACCATGAAATGTCAGTGAAACCATTAATGTCCAAAAGAATGTCACTTTCCAGTAGTTGGCTAAACAAGCTATGTTTTCAAAAGACCTAAGCAGATTTATAAATTGATCCTTGACAGTGGGACAAGATACTGTCTCAATCAGCTGGCTGGAGGGCTCAAGAAGGATTTGCTCTCCACTGCCTGCTCTGGCCTTTAAACTAACTAGAATGCATTGGCTGAACAAGCCATGTTAGGTGGAAACTGTGCTGCTAAATTGTGGCCTTCTTCATATGCATCACATCTGTAGCCATGTGGTGAGATGAGAATTCCTCTCAGAATGAGACTCCTTGTAATTAACTGACTTTGGTCTGAAATCAATCGAGTCAATTCTTCAAAATATTTTCTCCATCACAATAGAAAAGAATTTTAGAAACCAAAAGAAAGCAATACTCAGAGCAATTTATTTAGGACAAATATCTTGAAAACCACAAGACTGAATAACTACATTCTGATGCAACAAGAAACAGGTTGGTGTCCTGGTTAGAGTGGGCTTTGGCATCAGGAAGACCTGGATTCAGATCCTGCTGGTGACACATTCTAGCTAAGGAACTATGGGAAAGTTATTTAACCTCTCAGTGCTCCTAAGTGACTCTGTAAGACTATAAATGATAGGTGAGTTGCTGATATGCATTGGTGGAGGGAGTTTTCACAGAGGATGATGAAATCCTTCCCTCTTCCTCTCAGAAATTTTTAAAAATTACGTTCAAGTTTTATGAAGCAAAGGATATTTGATTTGATTTTTCAATTGTATGTGGCCAGCAGAAATTAATCTGGGATTTTGGATCAAGGACCATGAGGGCTGAGGTCTAGTGAACAATGCCCCCTTACTTAGCAGGGACGTGAAAGATTTATAATGCAATTAAAGAGTGAAGGTACATGCAGCCTACTTATATTTTGGATGAATGGTCAAAAAGGATTTGAAAGCCAGCAAAGAATCAAGACTTTTAATGGACATCATTAAATGGAAAGTCTTCAAAAAGGCCATGTTAGAGTTTGATTAAAGAGCAATTAAAGTTCCAATGAGCATAATAACAGGGAACTTCAAGAAGGATCATTAGGAGCAATCATTACCAGCCCAAGCCAGCATAGAAAAGGCAAATTTGTGGCTCTATGTATTTTAATTTCATGCTCTATTAATGCGAAGGAAGTGTAATGCTGTGTGCACCAATAAAACCGCACATGAATGTGGATTTTTGTACATTTGCAAATTTTATTTTTTTGGACATGAGATATTACTAATTTAGTCGTTTCAGTAATGCCTTTTGATATACAAAATGTATTTCATAAAATCTGCTCTATGACAAAAAAAGAAATCAGGATAAGGGTAGAAGCCAACAGGCTTTTAATAGGCTGAGATTCAGCAAGTCTCCCTTCTGAGGAGGGGGGAGGGAAGAATGGTATCAATAGATCAGTAACCTGAGTAAATAAGCTTGTAGAAAGCTCTCACATAAATGCAGTAGTGAATACTGGCTCCCCATATAAACTGCCAATTTGGAAAGAAATGAGCATAAAAGTCACTCATGCAGGACAGTGGGACCAACTGCTCCCAATCACTGCCATCAGGGAATGATTGAAGGCAGCCAATAAACACTAACAGAGTGCAAGAAGGGGACAGACATATCTTTTGGCTGATGACTTTTAAAGCACTAGACATTTGTTCAGAAGAGGTGAAATATGCGAAGCCTTTTGGGCTGGTGTATTTCATAGGTAACAGATCGTGATGGAGCCGAGGGCTCTGGAGCATCTCCTACATTTGTGATAGGGTCCTATTTCCCATATTAACTTTTTTTATGAATTTGTGTATTTTCCTGGGTTTTCCTTCTATGGGGTTCAGCATCCAGGAGTCTGGCGCTCGCTCTCTCTCTCTCTCTCTCTCTCTCTCTCTCTGTGTGTGTGTGTGTGTGTGTGTGTGTGTGTGTGTGTGTGTGTGTCCAGAAGGAGAGATCTTTGGGGAGAAATTCCACTGGTCTTTGGTCTCAGGGCAGTGCAAGTCACCTGGAAATGCCACCTGGGTCAACAGATCACAAAGAAAATTAGTGGCTAATGATGACAGCAAAGCCAACTGGATGAGATTTCCCCATTGTGTCACAATGAGGAATTCGGACCAAGGGCAGGAGACAGTCTGTCACAGAGATCTCCTGGGGCTCCTGCATCTGGGCCTCGGTTGTACAGATTGAGAAACTTAATTTTACAAACATATAAAAGTAGAATTGGTTAATGCTAGCCAAACTCACAAGCTATTTAGGAGCAGGAATATCATTTCACTATTTTTAATAGGAAATACCTCTAGTCAAAAATAAGCTTCAGTTATTTGCCCAAGATATTCGCTCTGTCCTGGGGGTTAGGTCCACTTAGGCAATGCAATTAGAGAGCAGAATTTGCTTGGTGAAATAGAATCAAGGTCAAGGAAGTTGAGAGTTTTTAAGGGTTATTTTTATCAATTGAGAGTAGCCTGACAAATTGCTTTTTACTTTAGGGATATTTCTATCTAAAAACTGGCACCCAGAGTACCTTCTCCCTGGACAGAACTTGAAATGCACTGACAAATTCTCTCTCCTGCATTTGTCATTATAATGATACCTTTCTTTATTTCAGCAGACCATCATAGAATTCCCTAGGCTATTGATGAGTCTTTGTTGATTTTGTTTAAGGGTAGTTGCATCCTAGTGACATCTATTATTTGCCAGTCAACTATAATTTATTTGGTGTTGATCATATGCCAGGCCCTTTGCAAAGTGCTGGAAATAGAAATACAAGCTGAAAGAAAAACATTCCTTGCCCTCAAGAAGCTTACATTCTAATGGTTTTATTATCAAGTGTGGCCTTTTATATTTAGTACAATACTTCCAACAACCAAAACTAAAGAACAGCCCAATCTTAATGTATTTTAATAATGTGGGTCATTTATACCATCAGAATCAAACTGAAAAGAATCTTAGGCGTATTGTTAATGCCTTATAAGTATTTAACTGAGATTTGTACTTTCAGCTGTCTGGGTACTACCTTCAGTTAACTCAACTCAACAAGCATTGCTTAAGCATCTACTATGTGTCAGGCCCTGTGCTTGGCACTAGGTGTACAAAGTCCCTACCATCAAGGAAGTTATGCTTAGAGATCGTAATAGTCTATATGAGTTGTCATGTGTCTCTGCCCTCCTGTTCCTCCTCCCTTGTGGCCACCCTTCTAATGATGAGTATCTCCAAACATAACTTACTGGAGCTTATAAAACATGATCTCTTACTCGAATGAAGCCTTTTTAAGTTGGTAGGATTATGTTCTACAAGCCTAGTCTCTGAGAACCCAGAATCACCTTCAAACATGAGAAGAAGCAATGGTGTAAATATAGTGGAAAGAACACTGAGCTGAGAGTCAGGAAGACCTCCATTTGAGCCTCACCTCAGACATTTACTGACTGTGTGACCCTGGGAAAGTCTCACAACTTTTCTCTGCCTCAGTTTCTTCATCTGAAAAGTGAGAAGAATAATATTCCCTACTTGTTGAGAAGAGAAAATGAGGTCATGTATGTGAAGTGCTTCGAAAACTTTGAAATATCACATAATTGACTGCTCTTTTTATAGTATACCAGAGCAGAATACTACTAAAGGGATGAGATAGTTTTAAAAAAAAAACCTGGTAATACTGTATTTTTTCTTTACTGTTTATCATTATCTAATATGCTCAGAAATTATAATTCCTTGCATTTGTTGAATTTCTTTTTGTTAAAACTTATTGTTTCATCAGTATAGGGAACTTACCTTGTGGAAATTCCCTGTGCTAATGTATGGTCACAACTCATGTATTATTTATAGTTTTAGAGTTGCCTGGGGAACTGAAAATTTAAATAAATTGCCCATAGGCACATAGCTAGTATCTGTCATGGTCAGGACTTGAACTCAGGTTTTCCTAACTAAGCCTGCTCCCATGACACATGTGTTATTCATTGGTACTCATTTCTCTTTAACCTTCCCTTGGTAATTAATACTAGGAGAAAGGTTTATTATAAAGTTAAACACTTTAATCGTTATATACCATGTTCAGTCATAATCAAACTTTCTTCTACAAGAATTCCAAGCTTTCTTAAGCATGCAGTAGATATGATGATATTAATACGGTTGGTAGAGAACATCAGATCATTGCATCATCAACAAAAAGAACTTCATTACCAATCATACAATGATAACAGCACCTGTATTAATTACTGCCAGCCACTGGTTGGGGATTACAAAATTTACTCTCAAAAGGATCCCATGTCCTTTTGATAAGATGATTGAATCCATGTTACAATAAATTCTTCTTACTACTTTTCATAAGAAAACAAATGCCTCTGGGAGGTGTTTATCATTCCCCAGATGTTGTTGCTGCTGCAAACTGGGGGTTGGGAGAGGGCAAATCAGCAACACAAGCTAAACAGGAAAAGCAGATTCAAAAGAATTTGGTGAGGGGGAGGCAGGCAGCTGAAGAAAGAGACTCCTTGTAAGTCATAAAATAAAGATTAGAAAGAAAACTAGAGGAAGAGGGATCTCCTGGCAGCTGATGGAAGAGTGACTTCAGTAGCAATGCAAGCCACTGCCAAAGTAACATGTTAGAAATGATACTGGTAAAAGAAAGGTTTGTGATTCACTTTGGATTTAATTGAAAGGCATCAGTACAGAAAGGACCCAGGAGAAGCAGCCCATGTTCACTCACACAAAAACCGAACAGATTAGGTATAAGGAAAAACCTGCATGAGGAATTAATTTTTCTTTAGAAGAGAAAAAAAACTGGCAATACTGACAATAAATAAGAAAAAGGATAGATGCCATTGGGTGGAGGGAAGATACTAAAAATGGAACTTTATTTCCCATGAGTTAGGTTTCTCCTCAAACCTATTAGTTCTGAAGTGAGGTCACTTTATGATGCCTTTAAGAGCAGTTATTTCTAAAATGGGACAAATCTTGCCTGGGACTATATTTTCCCTAAGCACATTTTACTATTAGAGCATTTGAAACATAAGCAAGGCAGCCTGGCAATCCTATTATCCATCCCTTCATCAGTATCAAATAGCAATCATTAAGACCCCACAGTTTTGTGTGCAGGGGGAAAATATTAAATGTGGGAGATTCCTGCCCATCAAGGTTTCACTATCTAAAGCAGCACAACATTAGAGTCCCATCACCACTAACCACCAGTAGCCTGTGGCCTTTAAAGGAGGCATTGCAGAGGGAGCAGGGATGATTTAAGAGGGTCTAACCATGGGTGCAATTGTCACTAACTTGTGACATAGAGTCATCTCTGCACAGTCTTTGAAGGTGTTTTCAGCTCAAGAGCTTAAATAACTTATAGCACAGCCCCGACACAAGACTGAAGGAATACCTAGAAAGCCATGGAGGTAACTAGGCCTCCCAGAGCTACACTGCCATGTTACAAAGAAGACTCAGTGACCCCAATATCTCTCTCCTTTCAATGAATTAAATTTGCAACCACTTGTCTAAGGATTATTAGCTCTGTGCCTTTTTTTTCTTACAACTGTCTCTTATACCTGAAATGCACTCTCTTTTCACCTCTTACTCTTAGAATTTCAAGTTACCTTTCAATTCACCTGCTGCAGTGGATCATCCTGATTTCCCTAACCATTTGTCCCTCCCCTCACCAACAAACTACCTTTTATTTTGTATATTCTTTATTCTTTGTTTTGTATATTCTTTATCCCAAAATTCCCTCAAGTGGGCTCTAAATTCTTTGAGGGCAGGTAATGTTTCAATTTTTGCCTTCCTATCCTTACTAGTATTAGCAACTCGAAGGGGCTGGCCATGTCGTTCCAATGTCGAACTTATACTTGCCAAAAAGACTATTTTATGGAGAACTCACACAGGGCAAGTGCTCCCATGGTATGATGGTCAGAAAAAGTGACGCAAAGACACTCTCAAGGTCTCTCTTAAGAACTTTGGAATTGATCGTGTGACATGGGAGAAACTGGCAGAGGACTGACCAGAATGGCATGCCCTCATCAGAGAAGGTGCTATGCTCTTTGAGCAAAGTAGAATTGAAGTAGCTCAAAGGAAATACAAGATGTGCAAATTTAGAGAATCTGCCTCAAATGTCCACATGGACTATTTGTGCCCAACCTGTGGTAGAGCATTCTGAGCTCATGTTAGTCTGATCAGCTACAGTCGGACACAGTGTAACTTGAC